GACGCATGCAGCGGCCAACAATGCTTCACTGCCTTCCCATTGGTTATAGTGTGATACAGTGTGCTGTAAACATAATGCATGCACATACTGTTAACCAAATTTTAACGAGATAAAAGCGGTTGGTGGGGGGGGGGGTGGTAGGCCCTTTCTTCTTGTACATCTGTATCCCTGAACGAGCAAGATTGTGATTTGAACCCATGAAAAGCACATCGACTTTGTGCTGGGAAACAGGCAAGACAGCTAGAAATAAAAGCGGTAAAGTAAAGAAACAGGATGAAACCAATGGCACACTCAAACCACCGACACAAAGGGCGAAGAAGGAAGATGTTTGATGTAACAAATAAGTATTGACTTTAACGTGATATTGCTGGTAATATCGTTTAATATATTATGTTGCCAATATACTTGGTGCATAAAGACAGCACTTCCACAGTTCACACGGTCAAACAGATATATCGCAGTAACTGCAGTAATGAATAACACCATCGTATTACCAAAATCAAACTCTATCGGAGGAACACAGCCTGAAATACAACATAAATGAAAACTTTTGAATAGGCCACGACTGCACATAACGTGTATGAAGTTGTTTAAATTGCATTGGCAAAACGACCATGTTCTCGGTACCACAAGTTCTTCTGTTTGCATCGTGATCTTCAGAAGATATACATCAGACAGACAGACAGACAGACAGACCACAAAATGCGCGCATCTGTAACAGAAAACAACACACATATGCAGCAACAACTCGTGCGCTGTGAGCGTGTGGGGGGGAAACGGCAGCCCAATCAGAGGATAAAATCAGACAGACAGACGGTGCAGCAGACTGCAGAGTATAGAAGCAGTGCACAAGTAACAATCGATATATTTATACAAAATTCCATTTCAAACATGTTGACACTACCATGGCATAGTACATGTACATTATACAAAAGGCCCACCAATAGATCCTATCTGTAAAGTGAATAACCGTGAACAGGCTATCGTACATAGAATGGAGTCTCAGAACTACGGGGAGTGAGGGCAACAGCCACTAAAACTTTCGTTTGTTGCTAGTTAAAACTGATTTCAGGCAAGTATTCCGCCTAGTGTTTTGCTTTGCTTAAAATAAAAGTGCTTGCTGTCAAAAAGGTCCCAGACAAGAAACATGATCCCAGTGTTGTTGAGTTGTTGTTGTTTCTTTTAAAATCCCATTCCCCATCCCCCCACGGCCACTCTGGTTGGGATGAAAGCATGTGATAATAGTCATAAAATATTCGCCTACATTTAAATAGAGGCTGACATATTATATCAATTGCTATGCTTAATAGAAGGCTGGGGAGGGGGGGGGGTGTTAATCGGGAACTAGCTGAACATGCTTTGAACGAATGCTGAAAGGCGTACAGGAAAGAGCTGCATGGAGCAAGTTTACTTAGGCTTTTGAGTGAGCACATTCATTATAAGTACACGAACAGCCTCAGATAACAACGTTATGATTTTCTCCCGACACCATGTCTATTCTAGAGTTTTCATAATTATACTAGCCCTCGGCCAAGGTTCAAGGTTCTTATGTGCACGGTATCTATGTGAAAAGTGTCCAATTCGCAGCGGTGAAATGACAGTCAGGAGAGAGACACAGCCAATCAGTGAGCACCCTCTGCTTACCATACGTCTCGACCACGGGGCGAGAGTTGACTGAGGGGAGATAAACAAGAACCACTAAATTGTAGGAGAGGGCTGACACGCTTACCTACCATGCTGCAGACCAAGACAACTTGTAAGCATTGTCAATGGGCGATCACGCACATACAGGCCTTCTACCTAGGTTTTGTTGCTTATGTTTGAGAATGTGTTTGTTGTTGTGATCTTTAATGAATCCCCCCCCCCCCTTTCTCCCCCTACATCCTCCCTCCTTTCCAATTAGCCGTTTCGTGGGGTTTCAAGACCACCTATCCTTTCATTTTGTTAGTTTTAGTTTTGTATAATTCGTTTTTTATTTTGTTTCTGTTGTTTTGGGGGTTTTTCAACCTTTTTTTTTACCACTTTAAGCAAAAGGGGGAAGAGGAGCATGTAGGATCTAGAGATATGCAACATACATACATATCAGTGTCAAAAGTCAAAAGGCTCTACTGTATAAGGTAAAGCAGGAGAACAAAATTTAATTATTGTCAATACTTTAGATATATCATTATGGTTCAGCATTTTAATATGGGCCATGCCTGATCCCCAAACATGATTAAGTGAAGAGGAGGGATTTTAAACTCTTTGTTCAAACAGAATATCAAAACTTACAAACATACCATAGTTGTAATGCCACTAGAACAATTTAATTAGCATATAAGTAAACAAAACATGAAAAAAATAAATAGAAACCTATCATCACCTGAGCATCTCAGACTGATAACTACCTACAAAAGCGCTTTGACAAAAATCCTTAGTCCTGGTTCCTAATTCATAAAAAGAACTTTTTTTTAAAAACAAGTAAGGATATTACCACCTTCAAAGCTGTATACCCAATAATGCAATAAATGAAAGAAGTAATAATCAGATAGTGTAACAGTAGCCACAATTTTGTTTTTATAAACATATAATCCTTCATTCAGAATGGAAAGCTGTGAGAGTGATAAATATATGAGCGAGATATGTAAATCTTCCTAGAAACAAGCATAGCCATGAATGCAAATACTGGAATCAACAAAGAATGTTTTACTAGGAAGAATGCAAGCAATGCCACTGGGGTAAATATTGCGATAAATGATAAAAAGGCTGGACACTTGACGGCAACAAATTCTAGTAAATGCATAATTTTACATTTTAGTGCCAAGAAAAGTCTATACATTCCAGTTGTTTTCGTCTTTGAATTGAAGTAAAGACGCATGAAACGATGTGGAATATAATAATGAAATGCACATAAAAAAGCAAAAAGACAATGAAAGTAAAAAAGTGCTGTCCTCTTATATCACCCCTGTTTCCAGTTACTGAAACTACTGACTTCAAAATTAATGTGTCACAGACATGCATACACACACACACACACACACAAACACACACACATCTCTAAGCATACACTCTTACACACATTACACACACGCACCCACTCTACAGTTATATTTGTTTTGTTTTAGTAAGAGTTTTACGGCACTTGCAACACAATAAGGTCATATAAGCGCCGAAGATTAGAGGTGTTACAAGAGAGTAACAAACATAAAAAAGATGGAGGGAAGATAGAGACGATAGATTTTTATAGGAAAGAAGGAGCAAACCACACCAGAGCTCCCGCCAACCACCCACTACAGTTATATAATAAGTGTTATATAATAAGTGTGTGTGTGTGAGTGCACATTTGGGTTTATACAGTTATATAAACCCAAATGTGCACCCACACACACACACTTATTATGCATACATAGCATAATCATTACACAAGCTTTGATTTATAGACAAGTGAGATAACTTATAGCACGCTTTTAGTATTACTCAGCCACTTTGAAAGAGAGTAAACAGGCACAAAAGTTATGAGAAAAACAAGCACTGAAACATTATCTAAAAGCTCAACTCTCACATCAAACTAGTTGATATGTTCTTTGTCATCACTCAACAAAATCCAAAATTCAAAAAGTTAGTTCTTGACTACTGTTATAGTAATAGCGAGACTCACACTTTTTAACATTTCAAAATCTAATTCTATTATGAGGGAAAATAAAATACAGTCCAAGAGCATTCCATGCAATGGCTATTTCAACCATGACTAGTTATGTTTACCCATTCAAAACACGCATCTGTCACAATGAATCAGTTCTCAAATACAGGCCAACTGAGAAAAGTATGATTGATTGGTGTAAATACTAAGACTTATTCTTTCTTTCCTCTTATTTAAATTATATATATATATATACATATATATATACATGAATATATGCATAGCCTTACACTTTTCTTTTATTTATTTTCACATCTGCCATGAATACATTTCAGGGGGCTCTTATGGTCTACAGGTGAAGGTGTTCACCTCCAATTCAATAAGTTCTGGGTTTGAATCCGGACAGCGACGGAAATTTTTCTTCTCCAGAATTTTCTCCTTTCACATTCTTTCCTGCTCTCTAACAATGTTCTGTAGACTGCTTTCGTCTCTACTTTCTGCCCCCCCACCCTCTCGCCTCCTTTGCCCCCTCCTCTGGGCTCCTGACTCTTTCGGCAGCTTTTCTACTGCTACTCCTCAGCTCCTTCTTACTGCTGTCTATCAGCCACACCTCTGATCTTATGGTAGGTAAGATCTACACTTAGACTTCTTGAATAAGGACGAAAAATCTCGGAGGTCCCATGTGCAAGTTGCGCACGTTAAAAATCCATTGGTCGTCTAAAATTGATAAGAGTAGGCTTCGGCTGCAACCCGAGCAAAATTCAAAATTTTCAACCAACTGAAAATGTTTAATGTTTCCTGTGCGCTCATATGACCTTATGCAGTTGTGAGCGCTGTAAAACACTTACAAAAAAAAAAATAAAAAGAAGAAGAAATTTCATTTAGAATTGTTTGCCTGTCACATTATATTACCTCTGTTTTGAAACTTCATGACATCTTGAATAAAATGTTCATCTCCATCCCCTTGACTCTTTAAAGGAATTGTAATTCAGGCTACAGAGATAATTATTATTATTATGTGTAGCTGATATCAAAATAATAATTAACCAAAACTTTTGTTCAATTACACCATTAGGACATCAAAAACTTGGTCTGGGCGGGTATTAATACATTAATATTGCTGTCATAAATGTTGTAGTATTGCACTTCATTTGTAAAATTTCGTTGTTTTAACTTATATAAAATCTTCCACCAAGAAAGAATAATCTGTATAGGAAATGGAACTGAGACGCCGGGAAAAATTGGAAACTTCTGTGATATGATTCGGAGAGAGCAATATTGCTTATCTATATAAATAAACATCAATGGTTAAAACAAAATAAGCAAAAAAAACAATAGTTATGACTACGGAAACAGACAAAAAAGCAACACACACACTCACCCGCAAAATTATTCAACTGAAAATCTCCAATCTGTTGTTGAGGAGGAAACCGCTTCATATTATCCTTCTCGTTTGTGTGGGTAGGTCTGAAAATCACAGGATCTCCTCGTTTTTCATTGCCTTTCTGTAAATATGGAAACCAAGCACAGAACCATTGAAATCAAAACAGGTAGGCCTACAGATAAAATAAGCGATAACATTAAAACAAGACAAAAATCTCCATTTTCTCAAAGGCAAAAACAGCGTATTAAAAGTAGGCACCGTTAGAAAGAATGTCCATGTTAAGTTAGAAATCAATCTTACTCAAGAAACTGAAGACACTGGTCACAATAATCAAATAGAAAAGCATGCTTCTTTAAATTCAGCACATGATTGCTAGACAGGAGAGGCACTTTCAAAACCTGGTTTAAAAAAAGAAATTTTATTCACAACAGTTCATTGTACAAAATGGTGAAAAAGAACAGAAACAGCATGACCAATAACGAGAAGACTAATGAAAAAAGCCAACTTCAGTAACCAAAGGCTGAACACTGTAAATCAACACTGAAGTGTCATGGCATAAACTGATGCACAGTAGGCTAATAAAACATAAAATGATTTTTTAAATCTCACCTGCTGAAAATCTGACGGGAGATTGGAAGGAGCAAATCGGTTGTACATCACTAGCCGAAGGAAGACGTCATGGTTTCAGGAATAATTACTACATGGGTAGCCGTGAAGTCAGAAGGCTGAATCCTGTGGAATAAATCATAATTGTTAAGAAAACAGTTAGACCACAGTTTATTCTGTATTTTTATCAAACACACGTAAAGTAAACTAAACAAAAACATTAAGACAGGTGATACTCTTTTTTTATTTGAAGAGTTTGATTTGATAGCCTATATAGGTAGGCTCAACATCTACACAATAGACATAGGGATAGTAATAATCTAAAATTTGGACAGAACAAAATCATAAAATTCCTTTAATATTTCAGAATTGTATAAAGTATAATGGGGACAAAGAAACCAGAGCTCCATTTGAGTATACTTCCAATAAATTTTAGGTCTTGTTTCTGCACTGCATCACTCCATTTTTCATTCAACTTTTAAAAATAAATGTGACTCAAAAGTCAGGTGTGTTTTTAACTATTCTCACTAAGGGGGACGCTTCTGTCTGAATATTTTTATCTTTTATTATTTCTACTCCTATCCCTGGCATTGCAGACTCGTCAGTGACAAAAATTGTGTACCTCAGCAATGCAACTGAATCATTGCTTTCGTTCACATTTGCTTCTTGCGTGAGAACGTCTGATTTTAACTTTTTCGCTTCAGCATCTGCTTCTATGTCAATATTGACATCATTCTTTTGTATCTTAGCTTTTCGAGAAATATTGATCCACTCCAACGTTTTGTTTGGGGGAGAGTTGCTTGGTTTCTCATCTCCCGAATTTCTCTAAAAATGTCAATTATAACCGATCAAATATTATAATAATGCCTTTCAAGATTTGTGAACTCCAATGATAATATATATATATATATATATATATATATATATATATATATATATATATATATATTGAGAGAGACATCATGCGCAAAAAAGGTCCTGGATGTAATTTTACAGGTACAGAATAGATTATCTGTCTAATTATTCCTGCAAGGCAAGTGATACTACGAAATTGTCACAGCAGAGGGGCAGATGTTGGATTGGATCATCATCTGCTGTTTGCAAAACTCAAGCTTCGACCCAAAAACCACGGAACCAGAACAGGAACCAAAAGGACGAAGTTCCATTAAGTAAGTCTCTTACAAAACAGATTTCAACCCTTGGTGGATCTTGGTGAGGAGGACATGGAGGTGGAGATAAACTGGACCACAAAGAAGTCTTTACTTAATAGGTTTGTTTTGGGGGTTTTTTGGGGGGGAGGGGCATGCCCCCCTGCATTTCACCATGATTTGATTTGATGTTTTGGCAATTAGGATTGATATTTAGGCCCCCGTGTTTGTCAACTACAGTGGAATCCTGTTATAACGAGAGGGAGGGGACCGGTGCAAAATGTCCTTTATAGCAGGATTTTCGTTACAAGGGATCCAGTAATAAATTCAAAGGAAATGGTAAAGTAGGCCTAGTCAATGAGCTTTGCGTTCTGTTTATTCCTTTTTTGTATTTCCCCTGATGATGATTTGTTCAACATGATCTCTAGGTCTTGCCGTCTTTCTTGATCAAAAATCGAATTAGGTTTCTTTCTCTAGCACTAGCAATGTTGACAGCTCGGCGTTGGCGATCAGAAAGAAGGGGCTCTGGCTCTAGGCTAACTCACCCGCTGTGTTGTCCCCCACCCCACCACACCCAGTGGTGCGTTGCGTCTGCTTGCGCACGTCACACATTTACTCCATCTATCACAGCATTGTGACCTCTCCATCCCGCACCAGAGAAGTGAGAGGCACGGTATGCCTAGATAATCTAGACTGGGCTGGCCTATCACACGATGTGTTCTGCTTGTCTGCGCATGCCACACCCTCCCCACTCATTCGTTCCGGCCCTCATTGTTGGTTTGCGTGGGCTCTACCACTCTTTGTTTCGGTGGATCACCAACAACTTTATCAACTGGCAAGGTTTTATAATATGTTTAATTGGTCTGTGCGCTGTGCACAGCAGCAGCAATATTCCGTAAAAATCGACTCGTGTGACGGTCTGATTGCGCAATAGCAGTATTTTATTTACAAAGATAAAGAAGGAGAAAAAACGTGGTTTTAGAATAGTGTCTTTATAACAGACTTCTCGTTGTTTCAGGACTCGTTATAAGTGGACTCCACTGTATATTTGTTGTGCAGTTTTACGTAACATTTTTCTCGTAAGCCACTGATTTGTAGCAATTTCCATGGCCATATATTCGTTTTCAATTTTCAGCACCCAAAAAAAACATTTGTCAGGTCACCAAAAACAGTGCTGCTGAGTACTTTTGCGTGCAGGTCAGGATGCATTTACAGTAAAATTACCCTAATTCCTAATTTGGCACTAGAATCTAGATCTAGATCTAGGAATATTTTGTCGACATTCATATGAACAAATTACAGGAGGCAGAGAGAAGAGACTTTTCTTGCTGAAAGTGGCTATTCTCACCCGCCCGGAAGTTCTCGCAAGATCAACTCCTCCCCTCTTCTCTCTCTCTCTTTCTGAATACTGTCTATCGGTGTGGACGATCAAATTGATCAAAACAAAGTTTAAAAATGATGTTAAAACACAAAAGTAAATTAATTTGGTTGTCTACAAAGATGCTACGGCTATTTAACTTTTGTAACTTTTCGAATCGAGCCGAACTACGCGGGTCGCCATTTTGTTTTGCCCGGAAATTCTCGCGCTACTCCTCTCTCTCTTTCTCTCTTTCTCTCCACTGCCCACAGACAAAATTGTACGCTTTTAGTAGGCTACAGTTGTAATGGAACGTTTGTTCACGGCACAGAATTCTACAATTTTTCTATTATCACAGTGTAGAATTCTGTGGTTTAGGGTGAACGCAAAATTTGGTGAACGCGCACCGGGTGAGAATAGCCACAAGACTCTCGCCTGCATAGAGGTGGCCTTTCTTGCTATTATTTAACGAAGTGACTATTTCTCCGAACGTTCGGAGAAATAGTGCCGATCTTTATTTCTCCGAACGGTTTCCGGCTTCCGCTCTGGTCGTGATTGTTTGCCTATTTGCGAGAGTTCGGCGCCAACTTTCATTCCGTCATTCTGCGAGGTCTGGGAAGGAGCAAATCAAAGGTGGTATCTGTTCTCAGCTTCTCCTCCGGCCGTGTGCCCACTGGTTTAGCGAGGCGGGTACTGCCTGAGGCACCCGAGAGACGGAGAAATCTGACCCTCTTTTCTTTTGAGTGGACGGTTATCGTCCATTAAAAAAAAAAACGGAGCAAATTTTTGGGTTTAGATCTATTTCAATTTTCAAGAGCTAGATCTAGTCTAGAGATTTTTAGATGAGTGTAAAAACGTGAAAAAGAAAGGTTTCACAACAGAATGAAATCAAAACTAGAACAGCCCAGAAACAACCACAACAATTAACAAATAAGGGCGTGTGTCCACCTGTCCGAAGAAGATTGACCGTTTTAACCCTAAATGTGCGTAATTTGTTTTAAAAAGTACAGGATATTGCATGGAAATTATGGAACCACACACAGGGGGCCTGCCAGTGTCAGTACCTGTACTTGGTTTTGGTGGAACGCTCTAACATAGCACATTTAAATCTATACAGGTATATATATTTAGAATCTAATGAAGGTAGGAACATCAAATTAAATGACGTTACACAATACCTTTTGTATGAACATCAAATTAAATGACGTTACACTATACAACCCCCCCCCCCCCCCCCTTTTCCCCAAAAAAAAAAAAATTAATAGAAAAACAACACATCAGAACAATAACAAGAAAAAAAAATACACACCAACAAAATATAACACCACAAAGAGGGAAAAATGAACGAAAAATAAAAGAGGAACAGCAATACAAATCGTATGTAACTGTAACGTATTCAACAAATCAACGTGGTGACAACAAGTGAGAAAGAGACGAAGTGAAGCTAAGTGAACTTTCTTTCAAAAGTAAAGAGTTTCATTTTCTTTTCTTTTTTTTTTGACTTTTTCGGGGACCAAAAAATCGAGCCACGATTGATTGGTCGCGGCCTCGACAAACGCAGATGCTAGCTCTATGTGTCGTTATCAATAACCCTCCATAGATCTAGATCTAGGCAGCTCACGAGTGAACGCAACACATTAAGTTTAAGAGCAGCACCCTTCATAGGCCACACGTCATATCTGTAGCGAAAAACTGTTTGGAACTGTAGCATTTCTTTAAAAAAATACGGACATTTTTTGGACCGATTGAACCATATTGTATACGAACAATCTTTGGTAGGCCTATAATATAATTATAGATCTAGATCTATATTTTATTTTTATTATCCGAAATATGCGGGAAAGGGTGTGATTTCAGAGTGTTCGGAGAAATAGTGCCCAGCTTTATTTTCCCGAACGTTCGGAGAAATAGTGCCGGCCATTATTTAAACAGTCAAGACCAAACTAAGACGAAGTCACCAAGACTAAGAGTTAAGAAAGACAAGAAAAAAAACTTTAAAAAGTAAGCAGACTAAACTTACTAAGTTAACTAAGCTGCTCCAGCGCCAGAATCTAGATCAAGGTCTTCTAGACTCTAGATCTAGATCTAGATCTAGATATTATATTAGATCTAGATTCTAGGCGTAAACAGTATGGATCTAGATCTAGACATATGATACTGATATCCCACAAATGCACAGTGCTTCGGACTCACACGCGTTGGCTAATCGGTACAAACCCATTTAACACTGTTGTTTGATCCACGACGAAAACCAAGATACGCAACAATGTTCCTTTCGTTTACATGTCCGCCATCTTGAAACCTGGGAAGCTGTATACAAAACATGCGCATTGGCTGGAATGCTTCATGCAGAAGGCCCGCATTTGAAAACTTTAAAAAATATATCATTCATAAATTGTATCAATGTCAATATCCTTTTTCTTAATCAGTTTTTAACTGTTTTTATGGATGTATCACCAGAAAGTTAATATTTTGTTAACTAATAATTTTGTAATTATCTTTTTTTCTTCTGAACTATATTTCTACTTTCGATTTCCTGTCATCTTGATCAATGATCAACACTCCGTCATTCAGTCAGCAGAGTTGAGAGTTAAGTTGAGTGAGAGAGAGTCAAGAGAGTCATTGTAAACACACAAAATGGCGTCGGTGAATGTGTGCAGTCGTCTTTCTTCTAATGATACCAAGCGATTTCAAGTATCTGTTAAAGATCTGGACCAAATTGTTGGGATTCTTTCTCAAGAAATAAGTAAATATCTAGAAGTTAATGAGGAAAACTATGGTAAGTGTCTCAATTTAGGAGGCCTTTAAGACTTTAGATTCTAGATTCTAGATTTAGATCTAGATCTAGATATCTAGATTCTAGATCTAGAATCTAGATTATCTAGATTGGAAGAGGCTAGCCGTACTTTTAATGACGGCAAGACTGCCACTTAATATTGATGGCTGAATTGTAAATGAAATTTTTAGTTTGCAATGCCTAAAGTATTCTGTATTTCAGACAAAACCAAAAGGTGCCTTAATGACTTGCATGTATTTGAACCTGAATAATTACTAGAGTGCATTGCCTCTTACCGGCCGCTGCCTCATTATCGGCCGCTCTCAGCGTATGCGGTACTTTTCGTGACAAAATCTTAACTCTATGCAACAATTGTTCCAATTGGTCAACAATTGTTGCACTCGGGCAAACTTTGTTTATCCTGCTACCTTTCCGCCGTCACAGGAGCGCCATTG